AAAGGAGGGTATGCATTGAATGGCGGACCTTAGTGGGTAGAGAAAATCCCTAACAGAAAAAGGAAAATGAGTTTGAATGTTTTGTGTTTGTAAAATAGCAATATCACAATAATTGTTATAAAAATAAGTCCTGGAAGAGAATGGGGAATCCAGCAGAATCATGTTCTGTGACCTTGGGGGTAAGCTGTCTACCTGATGTTGTCATCTGCTTTGAGGGAAGATTTTTTTTTTCCTGGAAATCTTTCATTTTAAGTCAGCTGAAGGTTGACAAGTTCAAGAGTCTGGTGGTGGTGCGGGGAGGCGTCTCTTCAGTTGAGAGACATGGATCCAAGTTTCAATATCCTGTAATTTAACTGCTGTGTGAGAAATTTAAAAAAACCTGGTAGGCCCCTTTCCATCAAGGTTCAAGTGGAGTTTTTCATTGATATCTCTTCTGGAATATCTAGTCTCCAGGTTCCAGTGTAAGGGATACAAAGTCCTCATGAGACCAAGGATCTCTGAAAGTCTCCTTGACCTGTTGACTGTAAGCTTTTGAATATTGTATTGGTGCCCTACAGTATTGGGTCATATTGGAATTTACAAGGGTAGGATGTGCATGGGGTTCTCTTATCAAAGGCATGGGTTGTCCAGTGGTGATTTCACAAGGGTGTTAATTTATGTTTCCCAAAAGGTGTTGACCTCATTGTCATGAGGGCTGAGGGTAGCACTTTAGGCCAAGTATTCCTGTGTTTTCAGTCAGTGTTGCCAATTTAAATTTTAGAATGCCATTGGTACATTCAACTTCCATAAAGACTGAGGCTGATAAGGACAATGATAATGCCATAATGTTTGAATAACCTTGGTTAGTTGTTTTAAAACCTGTCTAGTGAAGTGAGTCCCTCTAATATTTGAAATTTCATTTGGGATTCCCCACAATGGAAAATCATTTTCTAATAATTTCTTGACTACAATGTTGGCATCAGCTTTCCAACATGGGAAAGCTTCTATTCCTCTAGACACACCATTACAAGTACATATTGATAGCCCCTAAAGGAGACAATTGAAAAAGTTTAATTGTAAATATTCAAATAGTCCAGACAGTGGGGGAGCAGCCCTTGGAGTTACATTAATGGTTTTACCCATGTTATATGATTGACAGTTTAAACATTGATTATAAACGTGTCTTGCTAATTTAGAACAACCATATCACTAATATTTTTTCATAATTTGAGTCATTTTGTCAATTCCATTGTGGGTAGTCTCGTAAAGTGCTTGCAAGAGTGGTAGTTTGAGAGATTCAGGAAGCACCAGACAGCCATTTGGGCCCTCTGCAAATCCTCTCTTTTATGTTAAATATTCGTCCTTCTTCATGACACTTTTGTATCTTTCAGCATCAGATACAATTTTTTGCCTATTACCCAAATTGTCTTAAGCAATCTGATTTGGCTCTACCGTGGACGGTAGGTTGTGGAAATTCAGGAAAAATGGCTATGTGCCATTTTATGGAGTTCATTTAAATTACAAAGTTTTGGTACCTTAGTAATTTCTTGAGTAGTAGCCTTAGCATGAAAGTCAGCCATCACATTTCCCTGGTATTCAGGGTCTGATCAGTGGGCATGAGCCTCAGTTTTTATGACAGCAACTTGTGAGGGCAATAACAGTGCAGAGAGGAGGTCAGCAACCTGAGGTCCATTTTTATAGGTGTATCACTGGACTTAAAAATCTTCTCTGTTCCCAGAGCATACCAAAGCCACGGATCACTCTGAAGACATACCTGCTATCAGTGTAGATATTTGCAGTTTTTTCTTTTGCCAATTCACAGGCTCAAGTGAGGGTAGATAGTTCTGTAGGTTGAGCTGAATTAAACTGAGGAAGGGACTCCTCTTTCTAACAGTTCGTGTTGAGTAGTTACAGTATATGCAGCTTGACGTTCCCCTTCAGAATTTGTGGCATAGGAGCCACCAACACAGAGTACTAAATCTGGGTTGGCTAATAGGGTTTTCTGTAAAACTCATCTAGGAGTTAGATTTGGGGAGCCAAATTCAGCACTCTGTCAGATTGAGTCTCTCTCTGTCAGATAAGCGTAGGAAGGTAACAGGGTTTAAAGAGCGGCAGCAAAGAAGGCTCAGATTAGGAGGCAGAAGTAGAGTCTCATGTTAATCTACTAGCTAAGAAATGGTGTGCACGCTCAATGTTTAGCAAACTGTCTACAACATGAGGAACCTGTAAATTTAATTCACTTCCCTGAACAAGTTTCCAGAAGGATCCCACAAAGGAATTTAAAGGCTGCAGCTACTTCCTTTAAACAATTTGGGTATGCCCGGGCCACTGGACCTAATTGTAGGCTATGGGTCTATTTTTTTCCTCCAGATTTTTGCATAAGAACTTCCAAGCCTGATTATTACATTCCTAAACAAATAGCATGAAAGGTTTAGGGTAGTTGGCGGGTTGGGGGCCGGGGGGCGGGTCCCAATGCAGGAGGATTTTGTAAAGCCCGTTAGTTTCAGTAAAGCCTTTCTCATATTTTGTTTCCCAAGGAAGAGGTCCTTGAGTGTTATTTGTAGTCAATTCCTACATAGAGTGGAGTAGCTAACAAGAAAAAGTTAGGGACCCTGGCTTGTCAGTATCCTGCAGGTCTGAGGAAACCTCTAAGTTCTTAGTCATAGATTGGGTTACTTGGGGTGGTACTTATTCTTTCTGGAGACGGAAAGTGTCCTTTTAGAGATAAATCATGACCTAGGTAATGTACCTTTCCTTGTGAAAACTGAAGTGTATCTCACGAGGCCTTATGGCCTTTATAAGCCAGTCGTAACAAATATTTTGAATTAACTCCTGAGTTCTCTCTAGATGAGGAACACAGAAGTAAGTCATCTGCATATTGAAGTAGAATTTCTGAGATTTTGCAGTGTGCTTAAATCCTTAATGCATCTGAAGCAGCAGTAATAATAGTATTTTTCTGTACTTATATTACATTTGAGAAAGGCTTTTATACGTAATAGCTCATAAATGTTTACTGAATGTATCATTTGCTAGATACCATGTTAGGCACCTGGAATCAATAAGATCTGGTCTCGGGCTTCCCTGGTGGCGCAGTGGTTGAGAGTCGCCTGCCGATGCAGGGGACGAGGGTTCGTGCCCTGGTCCGGGAGGATCCCACATGCCGCGGAGAGGCCGGGCCCGTGAGCCATGGCCGGTGAGCCTGTGCGTCTAGAGCCTGCGTGTCCAGAGCCTGTGCTCCGGAACGGAAGAGACCACAGCAGCGAGAGGCCCGCGTACCGCCCAAAAATAAATAAATAAATAAGATCTGGTCTCTTCCATGGAGAAACTCAAACCGGTGGGGAAGGAAAGTATACGAATAGATAGCTTCAACAGAACACTCTAACTGTTCTAACCTCTGGGTGTTTTGGAAGCCCAGATGAAAAGAGTGTAGGACAAGGCCATCTCTTCCTAAGAAGCTGTCACCCATTGAGATGAATTTCTGAAGACAATCCCATTTCACAGACCTCCGCACAAGTGAGTGCAGGGTCCTTCTTAAGGAAAGGGTTTTCTGCGTCAGTGGAGAATCCATAGGCTCCCTGAGAGGACACTTAGGACAGGAACACAGGGAGAGATGAGTGGAGGTTTGCAAGCACTTCTCTTTTCCATTATTGAAGAACCGTTTACTGAGAGCCCCCTCTGTGTTTGCCTGTGTGCATAAGATGAATAAAAAACTCCCAGCACTGAAAGAATTCTTAGCCTAGTAACCAGTATAGCTGCTTAATGACATGAGAATTGTTGGACAGAAATGTGAATAAAATGTAGGGTGGGTTAAAAGGTTCAAAGGGGGTTTTATGCTACTTGACCTGCCCTGATCCCCATTCAGGCTCCTTCCAACACCTGGATTGCCTGTTCCAGACCAGCGACCCTGGGCCTCAGGCAGATTTTCGCTTCTCAGAAAACAAACACCTGTGCTTCCTGCTGGCACAATACAGACAACACTGCCTAGGTCTCCAAGAGAAAATGGTGAAATCAGAAGCCGTTGGTTCTGCTCTGGCACATCTGTAGAAACACAGAGGATGTCAAGTTGGTCTTATAAGTTCACCATTACCAAAGTAATGAATGATAATCTGTCTTCATTTTGATAAGTTAAATGCTTTATAGGCTTTGCTCTACTCATCCCAACATTTAAAATAAATTTCAATCCTGACCATATTTCTAAAAAGGCAAAGAAGCTAAATGACTCTCACTTTGCAGATAAAGAAACTGAGGCACAAAGTAGTAAAGTGACTTCTCAAGTTTGCGGTGGGAGGACAGAGTGCCTTGGGCTTGCTGATTCCTGCTCATACACCTAACCTCTTTGCCTCCCTCAGGAACAAGATAAACTAAAACCTTCTCTTCTACTCTTCTATATAACAAATAGTAGTTATATTGGCCAAGATATCATAGGATTCTAAATTAATTCAAAACATTTTTTGGAGATCATATTTTTCAGATCATCCTTTTGAACCCTATGGGCAAAACTGTAGCAGTTACACTGGAGAATACAGAAGCAATAGTATGTAGTGATTAAATTAAGGGCTTGAGGATGTCTTGCCAATCAAGCCTTGGCTGTCTATGGAAAAGGCACAGATAGGTCCATTCTGGTGAAAGAAGAATCCCGCTGCCTAGACAAGTGGTCTCTTCTCTCACATAATGATTTTCCTTTCAACTTTTCAATTAACACCTAGCTTTGTTTACTGTATTGAAATGGATTATAAGCTGAAGAGAGGGACTGGGAGCAGATTTTACAGTAGAATTAGAGAAGAAAGCCATTTTCAGAAGTATAGGGCAAGGGGAAAGATGATCTTAGCAGGGGTCTTTTACACAGAGAAACACATCATTCTCTTTACACATCATTCTCTTTACCACATTCCGGTCACTAAACACGTGCTAGAGTTCAGCGTGGAGGCTCTTTCGGTGAAATTCTCAAAGCACCTTCTGCTGAAGCGCCATCATCTATCAGTCACCCCATTCCACCCTTAACTGTTTCTTTCCCGCCTTAGGAAATATTCCTTGATCCAGGATCAGGCTCGAGAGTTGACCCACCTGCGGGAAAAGATGAGGATTGGGAGGGCTGTCTCTTCCCTTCTCATCCAGCATGTCAAGAACACAGTGAAGACCTTTGAAGAGCTCCTCAGCAGTAATAAGATTGACTGCCACATGGAGCAGCATTTCCGTGAGCAGCTGGCCAAGGGCAGCCAGCTGGCAGAGAGCCTTGCCAGCAAGTTCAACACAGGTAATCTGGCCCCAGGCCTCAGGAGGGCCTTTAGTCCCTCCCACGGACCTACGCTCATACAGGCCCACACTCATCCACGAGTGACTTTTCAATCTGGGGTCCTGCTTTGTAATCACCATCTTGGGGCCAGAGTCAGGACTGGCTGGTTAGGAGCAACAGAGCGGCACACAGGGTTGAGGATGCCATGATGATTACTTGCTCCTCCATCTCTCATGGAATATGGCTGCTATGACAGGAGGTATCAGTGGGGGGACAGCATTTATCTGAAACTAATTGAAAGAGAGGTGTAGTAGGGGCAGCTGGTTGTCATGAAAAGAGCCCTAAACTAGGAATCTAAAGACTCTTGCTCTAGCCTGTATGTGATCATTACTAGTTCTGGACATACTCATAGTCCTTTTGATATGTTTCCTCACCTAAAAAATTAGGTCAAATAATACCAGCGCCTAAAGTTTGCATGATTGTTCTTAGGACAAATAAACAATATTAATCAGAGTACTTCAAAAGAATGATAAAAGGGCTTCCCTGGTGGCGCAGTGGTTGAGAGTCCGCCTGCCGATGCAGGGGATGCGGGTTCGTGCCCCGGTCTGGGAGGATCCCACACGCTGCGGAGCGGCTGGGCCCGTGAGCCATGGCCGCTGAGCCTGCGCGTCCAGAGCCTGTGCTCCGCAACGGGAGAGGCCACAACAGTGAGAGGCCCGCGTACCACAAAAAAAAAAAAAAAAGAATGATAAAAGAATCATGCTGATTTGGGAATGATTTAGGCGCTCTGTGTATTAGTACCTTTAGTGGAATATTTATTTCAGGAGCCTTTTACATAGAATATTGCCTGCAGACCTGAGGGCACATAGTAAGAGCAGGCTTGAGGCCACTGTGCAGGCTCCTGGTGGCAGATGCAGTGATGGGACAGGGATTTCTGTCACCTCTACAGAGGCAGGAGTAGGTTCTGCATGAAAGCTGTGATGGGACACACAGACACGGGACTGGGAACCAGCCTTGTGGCAGGACTTGGAGACTCTGGCCGGAGTGGTCCAGAGGCCAGCTGGACAAGTATCCCATGATCTGTGGGAAAAGAGACATTTTCAGCTTTTTACTCTGACTCAGGGCAGAGCGAGTAGAGATGATGATCTTCACGGTGGGTTCAGGAAAGTCTGCCAGACAAGTTCTCTAAAGACTCCACCCAGTGTCTCCTGAGAAAATTCAGAGTATCCTGGACTTGAGAGTCAAGCAGCTATGTGTCTCTGATCCCAGAGAGAGAACCCAGTGTGTGTTTGTATTTGGTGAATGAGAGCTGTTTAAATTGTGACTGATCCTTTTTTAAATTTGCTTTTCAGATGACTGTATAAGTAAGAAGAATCAAAGAGAACAGGTGCTGCAGGACCTCAGGTAAGTCCAAATTTTCCGGGGCTATGCAAGATATAATCTGGTAGAGGATCCAGAGCGAAGGCCAGAAGATCAAAGGAGCAAGGAGCGCTCACCCTCCGTAAAAACCAAACAGCTGATTATACCATTACACCATTATGTATCCTGAGCGACAACGTGGTCTCATTTCCTATTTTTTTAATTTATTTTTCTTTTGGTTCCCAGTCTCGTATTAATTCACTAATTTAGTAATATAGAGCTGCTCTAGCCTAACTCTCCAGTCTTAGGAGTCTCCTGTACTCCCAGGGATCACCTCTGATTTCCTCTAGATCTTTAAAAACTGGAGTGATATTATACCTGATATCTTCAAGTGTGACCCAGCGAGTGCTGGCAGGTGTTAAATGGCTACAAATTTTCTTTGAAAGAAAAAAGATTTATATATAATATATATAAAATATATAATATATATATTTATATATATATTTATATATATATTTATATATATAATATATAATATATATATATTTATATATATATTTATATAAAGATGACATAGATAGATTTATACTGTGTATAACTATACTTAGGGAAGGAGGTCTAGAAACTACGAGACACCCAGAAGGCAACATTGCCTCAGGAAGCAGTTTTAAATACTATTCAGTGGATTATGTCACAGAGTATGTTGAAATCTTACAGGCCTGTGGGTGTCTTGTGAAGGAACCGTTAAGTGTTGAAGAGCCTGACGGGTCTTCTCTCTTTCTCAGGATGTTTGTGGCCAAGGCACTGCACACTGTTGTTCTCTCCTGCCTCCCAACTCTCTACCCCCAAATGGAAATGGATTGTTTGGCTTCTTCCCTAAAGGAACAGTCTCCTTGACTCCTGGGGCCTCCCCTGTGAGCCCCCAGGTCAATACAGCTGTGGTGTTCGGGTGACTTTCACTTTTCCTTCTGTCTTTCTTACCCCCTAGTATCTTAAGGGAGTTGCAGAAGAAGGGTAAAATGACAGAAGTCCTAGAGACCAAGCAGGATGCCCGGCCCCAGACTAGGCCCCAGACCCACTCCAGCAGCCATGCCCAGTCCGCTGCCCATCGCTCCCCTAGCAGCACCTCTCCGCTGTTTGATGAGCAGGAAGTGCGCCCTGCAGTGGATGTGGCCAGTAAGTATGCAGACAGCCTCCAGTTTCTGGGTGCTCGCTTATTTGTCTAGGCCAAGGGGAGGCATCTTGGCAGCCAGACCCTGCAGATCCACTGTGATGCACCTGGTTGAGCACAGGCCTGGGACTCAGTGCCGAGCACAGGCCCCAAGGGTGTCAGATAGCTTTTCTCCATTCCCAGTCCCCGACGTCGTCAGCCGCCAGACCCCATCAGGCACATACATGGTATTGGACTTGAGGGGAGGGGTCATGAATTGGGAACGGGAGGGGACAGATGCTCCTCATCACTGCAACACAGTCACGTCATGTTTCAGACTATGGATGCAAATATCATTAACATTGGGCCTCTGATCTTGGACTCTTTTGGGTAAACAGCCACAGTTCCTATTTTCTATTCACCACTAAATATTCTTCATCATTTGTGGATTTACAGATCCCACTCATCATTCTAATAATTCAGCTGTAATATCCTCTAAACCGTCAGTAACTGGGACTGGCTGAATCCATCACCAGCCTGCCCCTCTCCAGAATTCCCCAAGGAGGGCTCTTAGGCAGCCTTGCTAGGGATAGGAGGAGGAGAGTAAGTTTAAAATCAAACCTTCATTTTCTCCTGCTAAGCCTTCTCTTTATTTTCCCTGCTGTATGAGTCAGATTTTGGTGTGAACAACCAGACCCCAGGAAACCATCCTTAGTCCCTGGCTATATCTGGGTTTTTTTTTTCTTTTTTTGTTGTTTTCTTGTTTTTACCTGAACTGACTGTTTTAGGCATGAATAAGCCATAATGGGTTTTGACCTGGTACTATTCCTGTTTCTCATTTTACCCCGAGAAGCAAAGCAGCATAATGTTTCCTCACGAGTATAGCAGCCAAGGGAAGACAGGAAGTACACCTTTACTGAGCACCTGCTATGCTTGTATTATTGACCACTACACATATGTTGCTTCATTTAATCAGGACAGCAATCCTCTTCAGTTGGTGCTGGTGTTCTGATTTTACAGCACAGCTAAGGACACTGAGGCTTGGTGAAGTAAGGGAACCTACTGAAGACAGCCCAGCTTGGGGTAACGTTCACTGTGAGCCTGCCTGACCCTAAAGCTTAGACTGTCCACTGAACGGCAGCCTCAGCATTCAGGGACCAAGCAGGGAGGGAGTCACTCCGTTGCACACCTCTTTCTCTAGGCTTCTGGGGCGAGGCTTTTCCCCCATTCCACTCTTTCTGCCCCTATGCCCCACACAAAGGCCTAGCCTCTGCAAAGGAGACAAGACCCTAGACACATTGCACTTGCACCCATGAATTTATAAATGAATGGGGTGCCCTTGATATGTGTGTGACATCATCCAAGGGCCTATGGGAGTTTTGAGTGCATCCTTGGACTCAGTTGCCCATAGGCACTTGGTTCCACCTCCGCGCTGCCCTGAGGGACAGCAGGAGAAAGGCAAATACACCTTCTCCTTACCTGCAATTCCTGCCACTACTTGTAAGAATGGCCACATTTAAAATGTGGCTGCTGGAGTGGCACTCTCAAAGTATTGGCCTTATTTTCTGTTATTCCTATCTTTTCAGAGGGAGACTGAAGCCCTTCTTTTTCCCATCTGAAGTCATTATTTTCTCAGAGGGGCAATGGCTTATCACTGCTCCTTCTTTGCTTTTGGGGTCAAAATGTCTAGGGTAGTTAACAAATGGTGTGTGGCAGCTTCACCGTGAGGCTGAATTCCTCTCACAGGAGGCTCTTCTCTGCTGCTTTCCACATGCCGTGTAGGGCACACTCCCTGCGTTGTGTGGCCAGGGGAGAATGGGACAAGAAAACGCTGATCACTGTTAACTGACAGACTTGAACCCTCCTACGCTCTTAGCTGAGAGTAAGTTGATTTTCTGGGGAGGGGATAAAGGGGCTTTGAAAGGGGTTGGGAATCACATTTTGATTGAGTTCCTACTTTAAGTGAGGCTCTGAACTGAAGGCTTTCCTCTTTATTTCACTGTGATGTTAATTACATCTGGTATTATGTAAACTGGGGAAGGATACTGACTTAAGTAGGCAGTTCCCTAGAGGAACTTGGCTTGGTTGAGGGAAATAGGACTTCACTCCTCCCTGCTTAGAGGAGAAACCCGACTACTCTGTGGACCTTGATAATAATCCTTGAAAGGGGCGACTCTTGAACTTTTCTCTGAATTATGGCCCTGCCACCTAGCCAGGTTTTTTTCTAAAGGGAGCCAGCAAAGGACATGATGATGTTCTCGTAGGATCATTGAGCTGTAAGATACTGTATATTGTTTGGTTCTACAATCCCCCATGCAGAAATACCCAGGTCATTCTTTGGACGGGAGCCAGACAATCAGCTATATTTAAGAATTATTTTTACAGTCTCATGAGCCATTCTGGGTGGGATGCAACTCACCACTTGCTTTCCTCAGACACTCCTTCAGCCTCAGAAGGCGTCCAGAGTAAGCTGAGGCAGGAGGAGTGGAAGCCACCCGTCTAGGTTTTCTGCGCATCCGCCGGAAGTAGAGACAATTTTCCCTTCCTCATCCTCTTCCAACAGCCCCAGTACAGAACAACCCCAGGAAGGACTAGCTGCTCTGTTGCTGGCAAGAGCATAGACTGTTGGGTGAGTGGATCACCTGTTCACAGACCAGCAAATTGCTTCATCTCCTTAGTCTCATGACTTACACGATTGGCAATGAGTCCTGCTGTTGGAGGACACATTTCTGAAGTACCTCCCTGGGAACATTCCAGCATTTTGGGGATCATAGAGGGAGCTAGGAGAGGGGCCCCTGTACTTTTCCTGCATGTGCACTGTGACCCTCAGACACAACATCTAACAACTACTTCTTGATATCATAGGCCAGGAATGCCAGTAACCTTGGGGTGAAATTTATGGTCCTTGAGAAATGAGTTTTCAGCTGATACTCAGTACTAGGCTGGGGGTCACTGATATCCACCTTAGTCTTCATTCCACGAATTACTGCATTCGTTTTCTAAGGCTGCTGTAACAAAATATCACAAACTGGATGTTAAAAACAACAGCAGGGGCTTCCCTGGTGGCGCAGTGGTTGAGAGTCCGCCTGCGGATGCAGGGGACACGGGTTCGTGCCCTGGTCCGGGAGGATTCCACGTGCCACGGAGCGGCTGGGCCCGTGAGCCGTGGCTGCTGAGCCTGCGCGTCTGGAGCCTGTGCTCCGCAACGGGAGAGGCCCGCGTACCGCAAAAACAAACAAACAAAACAAAACAAAAATAAAAACAACAGCAATTTGTTCTCTCACAGTTCTGGAAGCTAGGAGTCTGAAATCAAGGCATCAACAGGCCATGCTCCCTTTTCCTTGCCTCTCCCTGACTTCTGGTAGTTGTGGGAAGCATCCTTTGCCTTGAAGATGCATCACTCCCATTTCTGCCTCCACTGTCATGTGGTCAGTCATGTTGGATTCAGGGTCCACCCTAATCCAGTATCATCTCATCTTAAGTAATTATATCCATAAAGGTCACAGTCTGAGGTTCCAGGTAGACATGAATTTTTGGAGGATATTATTCAACCCAGTATAATTATTTTTAAAACACTTCATTTCTGACTTCTCTGTTTGTTTCTCACTCATATTCCTTTCTGGACAGATGAGAGCCCAGCCACTCCTGCTGATTCAGGTTCATTGCCCAGCAACCATTCAGAAGCCATGTCTGCTCAGCCCTTCTATCCTTTGAGTGGCACCACACAACTGAGTGGGACACCAGACCCTGGGCTTCACGGCAGCAGTGGCCCATGGGACGAGATGAGGCCTCAGAAGATGAATGCATCTGGGAACCTATCCTCCTTCTCCTCTTTATACCAGCCCAACTCCAAGCCCTCTGGTAAAATACAAAGGAGCAGTTGGTGAAATAGAGCCCATTGACAGGAATGATACATTCCTTTCCTGGCCAGATGGTTTTTTGTTCCTCTGTTAGACCCTGGCTCACAGAAAATGGGTGAGAAGATGAAAGGCAACATCCCGTGGGTCAGCCAGAGAATGAAGTCCCAGCTCAGTGTTGGTCCTTTCTATGTGCCTCTCCCATTTCCCCTACCTAGGGACTTACTCTGGGCAGGACAATAAAGGAAGGCACTCTGAGGTGCTCTGTAGGGAGGTTGAGTTGCCTCACATTTGTGTGTTCCCTTCCATGGGGAAGGTAGGTCTTCCTTAGGTCAAGAGCTATTGCAGGATGGGATTCTATTTCTATACACACACACACACACACACACACACTTTGTATACAACTATAAGCCAGTCCTGCCTCTCAAACTTTGCCATTGGGTTTGGAGCCAGGCATCTGGCACCCAGTGGCTAGGGGTTCAGCTGTGTAGAGGAATGCCTTGAAGCAGCTCAGTTTCTGGGATGCAGACAGTGTAACAATACAACATTTGAAATTCTCAGAGAAAAAGCTGGCCCTAAGCAAGATGTCCTGGTGGATGAAGCTAATTTTGGTCTTTCTACCCTTTCCTTTGTGCATCTTTTTCTCTCCTTGAAGGTGTTCCTTTCTCTCACTCCTCCTTCAGGTCCTGATACCTCCCCAGGCTCTTCCTTGTCACTTCTCACCAAAGGAAAACACTCAGTGTCACTCATTATTCACAGCCTGATCTAATTTCATCTCCACTTACCTTAGTCTTTCTGTCAGTGAGTGGATGTGATTGAGAGCCCAGGAGCTCTTTAAACGAAGTTGCCTGGTGTTTCCTGGGTGCCCAGGTGTGAGGAGGAAGTTGACGGAAGTATAGATATGGGCAGGGATCTTGCAGGGGGACCCTGGGCAGAACCCCCCGCCTGCCCATGAGTGACAGCCTTCCCCATTTCCTACCTCTCCCATGTCTTGGTGGTACGCAACAGGGGCCGACCTGCTGGAAAAGAATCCTGTTGAGATCCAGAACCTGCGCCAGCGCCTGGAGGAATCCATATTCATCAATGACCGCCTGCGGGAGAGGCTGGAATATGTGCTCAGCAAAGCTCACCAAGGAAAAAGTAAGAAAGGCACCAAAACCTCCTGGTTCTGTCCACATCTAAGAGTCTCAGGAGGGCATATAGGTTTGCAGTTATAAAACACATTGGTGTGCAGTACTCCACTCTTCCTCACAGTCAGCCCAGAGAGGGAAGCAGGACAGGCACTATTGTCCCTACTTTACAAATACTGACCCCAAGTGGCCTGCCCCAGGCAGGGCTAGTTTTCATCCTCAGGGCTGTCTGATGTGATGCCCATTCTTGTGACTCCCTATACTACCTGGTGCTGCCCCTGGGCTTGTGGCATGACTGTCAAATGATAGAGCCAAGGCTTCCATGTTGCCCACTTCAGCAGAGGGAGGACCACATCCCACCTTCATGTTACTACCACATGCCCTGGATAGCACCTGCCACTCCCCCGCCCCATGCAAGTGGCCCATATTTCCACACTTTCCACCCAGTGGTGGCTGGAAGACCAGTACTTCCACATTCCTTCTCCCTTGTCAGGATCAGAAAAAAGGTGACCAGAGCCCCTACAACATCACAGAAGCAGCCAATTAGGGGGAAAGACCCTGTTCTACAACTGCAGCCATTGACATGAGTGTGTGGCCCATCATGGACTCAGCCACATCATACTATTGTCCCAGTGCATGAGGCTCCCAGGTTTTCTGTTTGGCTAGGGCTGAAACTTTGGTGAATGCAAGGAACTATATCTTTGAAAGAATCTGTTACCCAAATGTGTGACTTGACTGGGTTTTTGTTATTCCCTGAGACAGTATCCACCTTTGGCTTCCATGGTTAGAACCCAGAGTCCATGCCTCAGCTCTACAACAAGAAAAGGGCCTTCAGGGAAGCCAGCTGGAGTTTTCAGGTCACTTCCATATTCCTCCTTTCCACAGCAATACTCTGCTGCAGAATCAAAGAGAAGAGGGTAGAGAGTACAAAAATTGCCCAGACCCACACAGCCCAATCTAGATGAGGCTGCTGCTTATGAGATCCCACCTACAAGTCCCTAGACTCACAAGCTCTAGTTGTGAATAGCACTGAGAAATTCACATTTCATATATAAATCCCTTCTCCCATCTTTGCAGATAACCAGAGGGTCACTGGCTGTGAACTGAATACCAGCTTGGTGTCTCTTTCTCTCCCTTTCCCATTTCCAGCTGAGTGAAAATGAGGAGGGGAAAGAATGTCAGTTTCTCTCTGGAGCAGTCAGTGAAGAGAGTACCCTAAGTCCCTCCAGACTTCATTGCAGCTCTGTCTCTCCCTCCCTAGGAACTGCACAGCCAGCTCCAGATATCTCCCTTGCAACCCCTCGTTCATACATTGAGAGTCACTATTCTGGCTCTGGTAAGGACATCTTGTGACATGACAGCAGGAGGGTCTAGAGATATGTTCTCCAGATTTTCCAGCCCTATCCAACAGCATTCGTGGATGTAAACTTGGAGGCATCAGATATTACCTTTAAATGAATGGATCAATTTAATAAATTATTATTTAAAACTTGTTTACACGTATTTATTGAGTGTCTATAAAAAGTAAAATTTGGGCAGGAAAGAATAAAACCCAGAATGGCCTGAAATTCATAGCAAAGGTTAAAGGAAAAAATACATTTTCTCTATTAGCTATCTCTATTTCAGAGAACTAGACCAGAAAGGCCGATGCTGGGAAAATGTTGGAGCTATTAAGAGTGGGGCCGTGGGACTCCTTGACCCCCATTACATGCTTGGAAAGAACAGAAAAACTATCACGTGAAAATATAGTAGCATAAAATCTGAACGTTTATAATGAAGACCATTTACCAGACCCGGGTGCACTCCCTTCAACAGAATGACGGAAGCTGCTTCTCAAAGTCATGAAGATCAGAGTTGCCTCAAGCCTGGAAAATAGCAGTTGTCCAATTTTCAGAAAGGTAGAAATAATATATTTCAATATATATAGAAGAGTAAATTTTATTTTGATCTTTTTCAAACTAAGAATGGATTGGTATTAATTAGATGACATGTAAGCACATAGAAAAGATGGGCACTGATAAGCAGAATGGGTTCACCAAGAGCAAGTTAAGCCATATTGATAATTTAGCAGGTCAGAAGAATGCCCAGAGAGCTGAGTCAAGGATAAAATTCAGGCCCATGTGCTCTATATTGGTCATGGCATAACTCGGTTTTAAGAGAACTTCTAGTTGCCAACTAAGAGACATAGTTTTGCTAGTTTTCAGAGGATGACAGAGTATTTCATGAAAAAAGGTACATGAGAAGAAAAGATTCTGAATACAGGCTCATCAAATATTGGAACAGCTGCCATGTGGAAATGAAATTAGACTATGGAGTTAGAGGGCAGAATGAACACCAGTGGGTGAAAGTGACGTGAAGGCCAAGGTGGACTTGATGAGAGCCATTTCTACCAACTAGAACTGTCCAGTGACAGAAGTAGCGTGCCTCATAGTGGAGAGAGCTCTCTGTCCTTGGAAGTATTCAAGACCAGAGTAGATGTTTCATCATGGAGAATGTCTGAGAGTGAATCCTTGAAAGGAGAACTTGCTGAGATAGATGCCTAAGGCACAATCCAACTGCAAGGTTCTATGATTTTTTAATCGATATTCACGGCTTGGTCTTTTAAATAGTTCTATTGCATAGTTTTTATGTGCTTGTCTTTACTGGATGCTACCTTTCTCAGTAGGTTATCGCAAAGGCACTCACACCATCTCAATAGCTCTCTTCAACCCCCGTCAACCTCCCACAAATAAATCCGGCACATCTCCTGATGCCTCGGTACTAAGCTCAGTTTCCCTGAATTTAGGTGCCAGTCTTATTTCTCTGAACCCAGATAAGTGCAGGTCACCCCAGGGGCCATTATATGGCCCTAGCTCACCTCAGATACCAATAGTGATGCTTCCTTCCACCTTTGCTTTAGATCTCAATATCAGTGTGGGTGTGACTGGGCTCACCTTCCAGCTGACTGCTTTGCAGTGATGAGAACCCAAATTCCCCCTCCTTTACCCCTTTCCAACCTGGGCTCACCAGAACACTCCAAGGAGATGGAATTCCTGAGGAGGCTCTGCTATCCTCTCAGTCCCAGCTTCAAGGGCTCAAATGGAAGGTAGAGCAAAAGAAGGTGGAGTGATAGTAGCTTTCATAGAACTGGAAGGAGAAGCAACAGGAGAACTTGTTTTTCCAGGATGAATGTCCTTCCAGATAAAGACACCAAATGAAGTGGCCCTCATTTCATGAGCTGGAAGTGACTAGGGCAAGACAAGTGATGCCTATATTTTTAGAATCCAGTATATGCATTTGATTGTGGGATACAATCCCAGTACTCACTGGAGGTATTGTGTAATATAAAGGCTGTGCTTTATATTATTTTCCTAAAAGAATAACAAATTCCGACATCTTAGAAACATCTGGCCCAAAAGATTCAAATAAACTGTCATGAGCCTTTACTGTATTAATTACAGCTGTTTGTCCCCACTATTTGCAGGAGGTTCTGGTTTGCCACTACTTTTTTGGTTTTTGCTTTAGACAAAGGCTCTCAGGTATTTAAGCCAGTCCCAAATTCCTCATTTCTAACACCATAATAAAAAATCTACCTCATGTGGTTGCTGGAAGCATTAAGTGAGTGAGATAGTGAGATAATGCCAAGCAACATAAGAATCACTGAATTAATGGCAATGCATATTCATTATATTTAAGATCTATCTCTTCTGTTTTGGGGTACATTGAAATGTACAAAGTGCTTTCACATGCATGATTATTCCATGTGGTGTGCGTCCATTTTTTTCCTTATCACATCTCTTTGGGCTCAATCTTCTTTGCTTTCTCAGGAGGGCACTCTTAGTCCTTCTCTTATTCTTTCAGTATTCGTTCTCAATCTAATCTCCCCTGTCTTCAAAAGAAATGTGGATACTGCCCTCAGCAACCCAATCTCCTTACATATTTAGTTTTTGGGGGAGGTAGGGGTGGGGATCTGCGCCACACAGCTTGTGGGATCTTTGTTCCCCAACCAGGGGTTGAACCCAGGCCTTCAGCAGTGAAAGCACAGAGTCCTAACCACTGGACCACCAGGGAATTCCCAAGTTTCTTTTTTAAAAAAATATAGTGGGCTTCCCTGGTGGCGCAGTGGCCCTGGCCAGGGAAGATCCCACTTGTCGCGGAGCAACTAAGCCCGTGTGCCACAACTACTGAGCCTGAGCTCTAGAGCCCGCGAGCCACAACTACTGAGCCCGCGTGCCACAGCTACTGAAGCCTGCGCACCTAGAGCCCGTGCTCCGCAGCAAGAGAAGCCACAACGAGAAGCCTACACACCGCAACGAAGAGTAGCCCCTGCTCACCTCAACTAGGGAAAGCCCACGCACAGCAATGAAGACCCAACACAGCCAAAAAAAAAAAAATATATATATATAGTAGTGTTTAGTTATGTCTTCCCTGTATCCATTCTTCCTGCTCTCCTTGCCTTCCACAATGTGAGCCAGCCCGCTGTCTCAGTCACTGTTGTACATGCTTACATTCCATGCAGGCTTGAGCAAGAAACAATGCCATACTTACTAGAAAAAGAATAGTTTTAATCAAGATGCTGTCAACAAGATGACTTGTCTCATGAGATCAGCCCAGGGCACAGAAGTAATCACATCTGTGGCTCTTGGGTCCACTTATTCCTTATTGCCACTTATAGCTCAAACTGAAGGTAGGACAAAAGGTGAGTGACAGTAGCTTTCACAGAACTGGAAGGAGAGGTGACCACTGTACTTATTTCTGTTCCCCATACTTGCCAATCACTAGTACTTTTGTGTAGTCTTACATCTATTCTGGGTTTGGCTGCTATGATGGCCATGATAATTTGCCTTATAGACCTTCGTAATACATAGATCTTAACTGACTGAAGGACCCAGCTATGCTTTAAAATCTATCTCTGAGGCCGCATCTCCCATGGGCTGCTCCCTGCCAGTAGCTGAGTGCAGTGAGGATGCAAAGGCAGACCCATTCCTGGGAGACATAGGACTCTCTGTTGGCTGACTTTGGCTCAGTGACTCCACAATAACTTTGATGAATTTAGACTTCATGGCAGGCAGTCTTGGACACTTTCTCTCCCTGTCTTCCTTATTCAGAGTCTGATTTGCTTCATGTTCTAAGGTGTCTCCCATCCTTCCTAAGTACCTTCTTATTTCCTTTCACATAGGTATTTTCCCTAATATAGTCCTTGTATATTTAATCCTGCTCAGCATTTGCTTTTTGGAGAATCTGGAATAACATAGTTGTCATGCTGCCAGCCCCTTCTATGGCTATGTGCTGTGGGCACTTTGAACTCTGTTCCAGACATGACTGTCTTGATATTGCTCCCCTTTCCTCACCCTGCCTCACAGCCACAGGGGAGTCTGTGCACTGTTATAATTAGTAGTTTATTGAAGCCCATAAACATAGAAGGTGCTGTGTTGTTCACCTCTGTTAGCTTATAGTCACCTGGCACATACCCATGAGCACAAGACATTCAGAGAGCAGAACAAACCATTAAATCAGAAAGAAATGAAGGTATTTCATACTGACAAATCACAGGAATGCTTAGAGGTTTGGCAGCCATGCAATTTCTCAGCCTTAAAAAAAAAAAAGATGAAATCTTGCCATTTGCTACAACATGTATAGACTTGAGGATATTATGCTAAGTGAAATAAGTCATTCGAAGAAAGACAAATACCCTATGATTTCACCACATGTGGAATTTTATTTTAATTTTCAAATAAATGGACAAGCGGAACCATACAAAAACAAACACATAGGTACAAACACAGGGCAATGCTTACCAGAGGGGAAGAGTGGAGGGGGGAGGGAGAAGTGAGTAAAGGGAGTCAACTGTATGGCAAGAGATGGAAAGTCAATCTTTGATGGTGAGCACACTGTAGTGTATACAGAAGTTGAAATATAATACTGTATGCATAAAAAATATTATAAACAAGAAGATGAGTAAAATGATACCCTGGCAGGGCACAGAGAGCCAGGCAACAGCCAAGGGGCAGCTGCACTTCCCTGAAGGGTCCCTCCCAAGGTAGGCAGTTCTAGCACTCAGGCTGACCCAAGACCCCACTGCCCGCCAAGGCAACCAAGCAGAGTCTGCAGGGCAGTGGGTTCTGGGGGCGGATTACAGCCTAGTTGTGTTCCTAAAAGCTCAACGCCATTCTGGCCTGCACTGTCAGGGAGAGCCAAATAAATTTCCACCTGAAGCTTCTTATGGCCTGCAGAGAACAGGTCAAGAGGGGCCTCCTTGCCAGGACAAAATCTCTCCTTGGCCTTGGAGGACAGGTACCACAGAAACTGGTTTTGAGGGAGCCGAAGGAAGGGAGCGACAGCGGCTCCAACAGTGATCTTGAGTTGAGATGTCTGCAAGTTACTCTCAAATGGTGTAGCAAGTCATGTACATGGAGAGAGAGTCAGAAAGCAAATGTGAGGAAATGTTAAATGGTGCATTTAGGTGAAGAACATATGCTGTTACTAT